CTTGGTTTTAATTAATAGATGAATTTTTTGTAAATTGTGTTTAGTTGATTGTAAAAGAATAGAAATGCTCTGATGTGACTTTGGATTGCTTGATTTAATTTCCTTTGTCCAATTGTTCATAGATCTGATACGACTGATTGGTTTAAGCAGAATCCTCTTTATCATTTGAAGTCATTCTGTTGTGCTAACATGTTTCATTTGTTATTTATTCTTGACAAATGTGGTACTCAATTTCTTATATCTTGTTTAGATGTTGCTTGAGCTATGTTTCATATTTGAATAGGATGGTTTAAGTTACGCATTTGGTTGATCATGTGCTAACTCAACATCTATGACAGTCTGGTTTTATATTTTCTTTAATCTTTATTCTTTAGGCAGCCTTGATAGTAATCCAAACGTGTAGGTCAATATTTACGACATGGTGTACAGTATAAAAAATGTACAATAAATTTTTATATGTATAATAATTATGTAGGAGAAGACGTGGGAACCTTCGTAAATCTACTTTGCCTCAACCTTGTGACACTCCGAATCAGGGATATGGCTTATCTAGCGAGGAAGAAGACAATGATTCATCCTCTAATGATGATTACAAACCCCGTAAAAGTGGTAAGAGAAGAGTTCAAATACCTGAGTCAAGTGACATTGGTTCCCAACAACTTACTGAAACTAAGGTTCCCATAAGAAGACGTGGGAGACAAACAAAAAAGAGGGGTAACAAGAGAGCAAAAAAAGGAGTTAAGTCATCTCAACCTTTGGGAAACGTTCATCAAATATCTGCTTTATCAAGCAATGATAAAGACAAAGCTCTTAGTTCTACTTCTCATGACATTAACATTAATGAAAATGGCTCTGAAGAAATAAAAGGGAATAAGCCTTTGGTGGTCGAATCGGGCGGAAGCGACATACGCCAAACAAAGATTGAGAATCACGTTGAACGGTTGGAGGCTTATCTTCAGGATCACGAAAGAACCGACGAGGAGGTATAAAAAATTCTTCTATGTATTGTGTCTCACTCAAAAACTTGTAAATATTTTGCTTTTCTGATCGGTGTTATTTCTAACACGCAGATGGATATTAAAGTGTTGCTTATCTCAATGGATGAGCAAACAGCACCAAATTTGGAAAACTCTCAACTAACGTGCGGGCCTGACTTAACATTGAAGTCAATATGTGAGGTATGCTCTTAATTAATCATTCATTCTAAAAATTAAACAATGCAAGTAGATTAATGCGCCGGTCAAAGTTTTGTATTTTTTATATGTTTTTGTCCTTGACTCTTGGAGATTATGGGCCTACGCTTAGAGTTTCTTGGTTCCGAAATAAAACTGATTACAAGAGTTTGATTCAAATGTCTCATAATAAGCAGGCCATTGCTCCTTACATTGGGGCCCAAGATGAAGAAATCGAGCTGTATGTGGTGAAAGAGTTCGTTAAAGATTTGAAAAATATGAGCATAGACAAAGTGGAGAGTGTGAACAAGGAACAGAATGTGGGTGGACTAAGAACGTATAACTGCAACTATGGATATGTGGTTAGTGTTTTTCTTTTCTATTTATTTTTTGTACAGAAAAGGACACTAAATTGATTCACGTGGAAACTACTGTTCTTGCTTCAGCTTCTTGGCTACAGAAAGATTGCTTCAAGTGAGTAAGAGTGAGGAACTTTGAGCATCGATGGAGGTGGAGATTGTTCAACAATTTACAAAGGAGAAACCACCACAAAAAACTTTATATTTATATTTTTCTTGATTTGGAAATTAAAAACTTTCGTATTTTTATCGGCATGAACATGAGATGTTTTGTATTTTATCGACAAAGACATGGTTTATTTTATGAACTTTATGTTATTTGAATAGTTGTCTGTTTCTAGGATATATCTTTTGTTCTTCAACCATTCGGAAAATTTAGCAAACTCGTCGCATTACCTGTGAGTCAGTTCAGCTTTACAAGTTTTTAGGATAATTAAGTATATATATATATGTATTATTATTTTTTAATAGTCTTATAGTTACATAGTATTAGAGATTTTATGGGCTGTTAGCCTGTTATTAAGATAGGATGCTATGACTGAAAAAGATATAAACAAAGTGAATAATTAAAAAGTAGTTGTTAAATTTTATTTGATTATTACTAGTAGAGACATGAGTTTTTTTCAAACTTGACAAGAGTATTTAGTAACAATCCATTAATATAGAAATGAAACAATACAACTGTAACGTGTGAACCAAAAACAAACTAAGAAGTGATAGTTGGCAAAATATTTTCCAACATCCCAAAACCAATGATTTTAAATCGGACCGGCAACCGAGCCGGAAAAACATTTGAATCGTAGGTCAATATGGTTCGACTGGATTCACCCGAGTTTGATGATATTTTAAAATTATCAGTATACTTAATTCTATACTTTTCTGATATCAAAGAAAACACTTAAATAATTTTAAAACTATAGAAAACTTAAATAAAGAATACACATAAATATTAAAAACCAATTAATTATAATGGTTTTCGTAATTTAGTAAAAAAATTAAGAAAAGAAATATATAATTTCTCTAGTACGTACTTTATAGTATAATTTTATAGTGTTGGTTATTGAGTTTTAAGTTTGATAAAAAAAATGTTATTGAGTTTTAAAACAAAAGAATCGAAAAAATTAGAAAAAATTAAGAAATATAAACGCCATTTTTTTGTTGTTGAAATGTTAAATGTTAAACGTCATTACTTAAAATTTTCTTTAATTTAGTTTTGTTGTTTATATTGTCCATGGAAAATTTTTTTTTTTGGAAAAGACCACTTTTTAAACATTATTTTTTAAAAATATCACATTTCTAAAAAAGCGTTAAAGTTATCACTAATATTGTATCATTTAGAAAAAATTACCTAAATTAATTTACTTTTCAAAAAAAAAAAACTAGGATAACTTCTTTAATTTTTTATTGTCCAAATAACCTATTTTACATT